ACGTTTGGTAGAAGTTTCCACGCTGCCAAAAAATCTACTAAGGGAACCAGCCTCTTGAGGCTGGCCTCTGGTGTTATTAGAGGAGCCAGTTTGGTGCCCTGAAGCGGATGATCGGCAGGGAACAACCGACCTGACTGCTGTAGCACCCTCACTTGAGGGGACGAGCTCTCCCGTGCCGTACCGTCACCGGACGGCAGCTGGGATTTTCGCTCGTCGGAGCTCAGTGAGCCCTGAAGCACCGAGGGTGGCAGGGGTATCAGAACATCTCTGAGAGGGCACTGAGGAGGATCGGGCACCGTATACTGAGGTGTTATTCTTTCCTCCCCAGGTGGGGCTGCCCTCAGGGACCTGACAATGGTGGCATCAGGACCACTTAGTCGAGGTCCTCTTAGACAAGATAATGGTCCGTAGATCCGTTTTCGGTCTAGAAGACCCCGACTGAGAGCGTCGCCCCAACCCCCGATCTTCCTGTGGAGGGGTGCGGGTTGCAACACTCTGTTTTTGAGACTGGCGATATGAGGAGCTTGACGGCTGGGGCTGCTCCCGCTCAGCAGCACCATGGGCCTGGGAGCGACGAGGGAGGAAAAGTTGGAACGCCGCCGCTTGCTTCCTCGCCTCCTGAAACCTATCGACGACAGTGTTGACTGCATCGCCGAAAAGGCCAGAGGGCGAGAGTGGGGCGTCTAGGAGGAAGAATCTATCCTTATCTTGCATTTCGGACAGATTCAACCACAGATGCCGTTCCGTGGCCACCATAGCTGCCATTGAACAGCCGATAGCTCTGGCCCTTTCTTTGGTGGCATGGAGGGACAAATCTGTGGCCCGACGCAGTTCGGCTACTACGTCGGATTCCTCCTCCTCCCTGTCATCCAGGTCCCTGAGCAGGTCAGCCTGGTATGCTTGTAACACAAAAGCTGTGAAAGCTGTGATCTGGATCTCAGGAAACGGTCATCTAATTTACTCTTAGGAAGAGCGTCCTGTTTCTCGGCTGGCCAATCGATATTTAATTTGGCTACAGCACGAGTCACATCCTCCACGAGCTCCTCATACGCGAGGGACTGTGGTGGCGAGTCCACAGTATCCTCTGTCTCGACACTCATCACATCCACCATCACAGAGGAAGATAGATGAAGTGTCTGGCTCTCTCTTCGGGGGGAAGAAACCACAGTGTGGGCTGAGAGGGAGCCGTGGATATAGCGGGTGAGGACCGAGAAAAGGATGAGCCCATCTCGGATCCCTCCGCTAAATCCAACTGCGATCCCCATGACAACAGTCTATGCTGTGCCTTGGCAACAGCGGGACCGCTGCCAGCGGGATCGCGAGCCTGGCATCAAACACGGCCAGGCGAGAGCGGAGCACACGCAGCGAGAGCAACTCGCAGTCATGACAATCAGCCCCCACGAGAGCTGACCATGCATGTTCTGCTCCTAAACAAACAACACACAGATCGTGTGTATCCCCTGCTCACCGCTGCCAGATATTGTAGGCAGTGAGGAACACAACGTCTGTAGTGCCGTTCGCTCGCCATAGATTTCGACTTTGACTTTGACATTTTGAATACTTGTGGACTGACAGGCAACAGTAAATAGGACTGACACACACACACAGAGCGCTACTGAAGAGCAGAAGCTAACTTGCACTCTGCCGGATGCGCTTTTATACTTCCTGGTTGCTCACGTCACCCCGCTCATGAAGTCTCGCTGCTCCATTGGACTGATTTTACATGTGCTTCAGAACGCGGTCACGTAGGGGTATTCCCAAAGCTTTTCTCGAAGCAGCTCGAGTTCCTGAAGGGGAACAATCCATTCCTACCCCCAAGGCATCAAAAACTGAAGCATGGTGAGATGCTAAAGGTACCAGGTGTCACTATACGGACAAACTAGGAACTCCATTGCTTTCGATGAGAAACCTTTGCCGTCAAAGACATATTTTTTTGCCTTTATGATATGTTGGGGTATGATTTTCAATTTAAACATGCAGCCACAGTAATTTAATTTGTTACACTATTTAAGCATTTTTGAGCATCAAACCCAACCCAGATTCAACATAACAGCCAGATTGAACTACAGTCAAAAATTAAATGGGCCTTTTATTCCAGACTGCACTTGGAACAGCGCAGCATTAAGTATGCAAATTTTGGGGGATCGGGACAGAAATATTACAACTTAAATACAGCCATTGAGAACAATAAAGTTTGATCTCACAACAAAATGAGTTTGCATCTTTTTCCCCACATTCACAATAACCAGCTAACATAGACAACGGTAGTAGCCTTTCATGCTGGAAAACAAATAGACACATAAGTGTAACAGCCATCAACAAATCAAAGTTGTCAAACCAAATAAGGCTACTCAAATTACACAAAAAGTACATGAAAAGGGAAATTAGAAGTTGCATTTTTGGGTATCCTTAATACATTACGAACACTATTGCACAATTTAACACTCAGTCAACCTTACATTAGTAAATGAATACTCATAGGACTTCCAAAATGAATTTGATTATTCAAACTTACAGCTCATCACCACTCTAGCACATGTAGGGGAGCGCGGGGCACAAAGTAACGCAGGGTAAATAGTAACACGGACTTTTTAGATAGTTGCACAGGGTTAAACATGACGTACTTCCGGGCTTTTCACCACAGTGATTGCGCACGTCTTCCCGCCATCTTTCGAGAAAGTTCAGCAAAGTTTGGATGAGAACCACAGGAGAAACTCTTTTGGCAGCATGTAAGTATTTTTTGGTATAGTAGTTGTTTTTCGATTTTCGAAGAATGTGTGAAAGTATGTTAGTCCAATCTTATACTGTTGTGAATACCATCTTCTTGGCTAAAAGATGGTACCATTTTGAAAGATGTGAAAAACACATAGTGACTGCTAGCCGGTCCTGAGGTAAACACGACACAGCGGGGTTAGTTGTAACACGGTGTTACAACTAAGCCGCACATTGCGTAGGTTACATCAATAATCGGAAATGTTGGATTGTACATGTATCTGAAATAATGCATTATTATACCCTGCGTCCTCATATGAGGACATTATATTTTAGTGTATTTCTCTGAGACTATACATGCCACAGTTTTAAGTCTGGATGTCCTGTACAGAGCACATTCAGGGCTTTTCAGAGATACTAAATGTTTGGATGTTTCACTATGACCACTCCCTCTCCTTGGTCTTCAAAAATGTCTGATATTTATTTAGTGACACTTGATAATATTTTGTAATTATCATTTAAACCAGTCTAATTTTTAAACTGTGTCGTAAATCAACATCTCAGGAAAATGTTATGGGGTTTCAAATCAAAATATGACCTGTTATGAAACAGGAGGTTGATTACATACATGTCCTCATATGAGGACTGAAAGCATGTTTATTACACATTTTGGGAGACACAACAAATGAATAGGGAAATAAATTATATTTCAATATTCTATTAAATATTTATTATGAAAATCTTGTCAATTATTACTCCCATAATTACACTTATTTTTTCATTACATGTTGCCCCAAAAACACATTAATAGGCCTATTAAAAAAAAAAGTTTAACTTTTTTTTTTAATGCTCTGATCAATGTAATGACATGAAAAAAAAACGATCTAATTTTTAAACTGTGTCGTAAATCAACATCTCAGGAAAATGTTATGGGGTTTCAAATCAAAATATGACCTGTTATGAAACAGGAGGTTGATTACATACATGTCCTCATATGAGGACTGAAAGCATGTTTATTACACATTTTGGGAGACACAACAAATGAATAGGGAAATAAATTATATTTCAATATTCTATTAAATATTTATTATGAAAATCTTGTCAATTATTACTCCCATAATTACACTTATTTTTTCATTACATGTTGCCCCAAAAACACATTAATATGCCTATTAAAAAAAAAGTTTAATTTTTTTTAAAAATGCTCTGATCAATGTAATGACATGAAAAAAAAACGATTTTTTTTTTTCCCTAAAAAATTCTTCCCAGGTCTCAGGAGGTTAAATAGTTTGTACAAACACTTGTTGCATTTCTTTTGTTCACAGGGTGAGAAATCGTAGAAGGTCCACAACTAGGGGAGTGACTAGGGAAGTTTTGAGTTTAGCAGCCAGGGAGGTGGAGAGGCAGGTCCGTACGGAGTGTGGCAAATACTTACGGCATCTGCCATGTAACTCTACACCGCTTTGTCGTTCGTAAACGAAAACTGCAGGAGCAGCATCAGGGTAAAAATTCACCACTACCTCCAGTGGGCTACTGGCCACACAGAAAGGTCTTCACATCAGAGCAAGAGGAGCAGCTAGTTGCTTATTTGACCCATGAGGCAGCAATATGTTATGGGCTGAGCCCCAAGGAGGTAAAGCTGGTTAAGCTAGGATAAGTTAGGAAATAAGGATAAGATAAGAAGAATTATTGCTCTATTCGTACATTCAAGTGCCTGTTTCTGTTAAAAATGGTAGGTCAGTTTGTTTGAATGCCTAACATGAATTAATATGTGAATAGGCCTACACACACATAGATGCACACATAAATACATACATAGACTATATACATGCACACGTACGTATACATATATACACTACCAGTACCAAAAGATTTTTCATGTTTATGTTTTTAAAGAATTCTCTTCTGCTCGTCAAGCCTGCATTTATTTGATCCAAAATACAAGAAAATTTTGAAATATTTTTACTATTTAAAATAGCTGCTTTCTATTTGAATATTTTTTTAAATAGAATTTATTCCCATTATCTAATCTAAATTTTCACTTTTTACTGGTAGTGTGTATACAGGATATACACAATTAAGCAATTTTAGGATGCCTTGTGTGATGTATGTAAAAGCAATTAATCTAGTTGACATTATTATTATTTTCCCTTTTTTATGTTCCTGTTTTTCAGGTCAGAAAACTTGCATTCCAATGTGCTGTCCAGTTCCACTGCACATTCCCAGAATCCTGGTCTAAAACACAAATGGCGGGCAAAGACTGGTTCACTGCTTTCCTCAAAAGGAACCGATCTCTTTCGATTAGAAAACCACAGGCCACCAGTGTGGCGAGAGCCACTAGTTTTAATGCTCACACTGTGGGAATTTTTTTCAACAATTTACACACTGTCTACAATATGCACAATTTTACCCCAAATGATATATGGAACATGGATGAAACTGGTGTGACCACAGTGCAGGCCCCTGAGAAGATAATAGCCACAAAAGGAATACGCCAGATTGGAGCAATGACCTCTGGAGAAAGGGGTAAGCTAGTGACCATTGCAGTGGCCATTAATGCCCTGGGGAATTCGATCCCTCCATTTTTTGTTTTTCCCCGCAAACGATTTTACTCTCACTTCATCCATGAAGGGCCACCTGCATCAGCTGGAGCAGCAAATGGGTCTGGTTGGATGCAGGCAGAGGAATTTTTGCAGTTCCTCCTCCACTTTGCCAACCATACAAAGCCCTCACTGGACTCCAAGGTACTTCTCTTACTGGACAATCACGTGTCCCACCTGTCTGTCCCAGCCATGAATTTCTGTAGGGAACGGGGCATCGTTCTACTTACTTTTCCGCCACACTGCACTCATAAGCTCTGTCCCCTGGACAGAACAGTTTTGCGCTCTTTCAAAGGGAGGGTCAACACGCACCTGGACCACTGGATGAAAGCTCACCCTGACCAGAACGCCACAATATACGACCTCCCTGGGATTGTTGCAAAAGCGTTGCCACAGGCAGCAACGCCTGAGAACATCATGTCAGGTTTCAGGTACCTATCTATTAGAAAAAAAAATCCTTAATGTACTTCAGGATGAATAAATTATCTGTCTATCTATCTAGGTGCACTGGCATCTGGCCCTACAGCCCTGATGTGTTTGGAGAAAATGACTTTGCTCCTGCATATGCAACCGACAGACCAGAGCCAACTACATCCTCTGCAGGTTCTGCCACACTCCACCAGGGCTCCTCCGTTCTTCACCAGTCCGCTCTCCACCAGGACTCCTCCGTTCTCCACCAGGGCTCCTCCGTTCTTCACCAGTCCGCTCTCCACCAGGGCTCCTCCGCTCTCCACCAGGGCTCCTCCGCTCTCCACCAGGGCTTCTCCGCTCTCCACCAGTCCGCTCTCCACCAGGGCTCCTCCGCTCTTCACCACTCCGCTCTCCACCAGGGCTCCTCTGTTCCTGAATTCAATCCTGCTTTAGTCAGGCCCTTCCCTAAGGCTCCTCCACGAAAAGCATTTGCCAAGCCCCGAGAGAGGGCAACAAGTACCATCATCACAGACTGTTGCAGAGGAAGAGATAAAAAAAGAGCAAAAAAACGGCTCAAAAGAAAAGAAGCCTTGGTGGGAAAAAGCAAAGTAAAGCAAGTAACTCAGAGAACTGTCTTGTGTGTTTTGAGGATTTTACATCCTCTGCACCTGGAGAGAAATGGGTTAAATGTGTTTTTTGTGATGGGTGGGCACACGAGTTATGCACCGAAGGACATGAACATTATGTTGTAGTAATGAGTAGTTTCTACACGTTGTGCATGCAGTGGTATGTTGAAAATGTTTCCACTTACTGTGAGATTAACAATTTGTTCATTTGTTAGATTTATAATTTGTTTAATAACACTGAACACTGAAAAGTTTATACATACCTACAGAAACAGAGTGAAAAGATGTCAAACAGTATCAAATGTTTAAATGTGAAAAAAAACTTAAATGATTTTGAAATGTTAGCCTATCGGTTCATTAAGTTGAAACCTAGGCCTATATACAGGTCTGTTTTTAAGAGTGACACGTTTTAAATTTTTATCTACTATGGTAATAAAAAAATTTTTTTTATTGAAACCGTTTGTTAATGTTGCGAATAAATCCATTTGTCTACACTCAAGAGTATTGTTTTAATAGATTAATAAATGGACATACTGTGCTATGTAGAGTTGAGTACTATGAGGAAATATACTACAATTTAAACTAAACTGAATTTCAATTTCAATTGATTTTGTGAAATCTGACTCTTCCAGCAAGTGTTACAACTAACCCTCTGTCTGTTACAACTAGCCCCACCCGCGGGGTAAGTAGTAACATTTTACTTCTGGCACTTTTGGCGATACTGCACAATAACGGTAGGTCCGACTAACATACAAACAGTGCTCATTTTTAGGAGAGGCTTGTATGTTGTTTGTATAAAAATATGGTTTGTGTAACCCCATTACTTCACAATAACCAGCTAACATAGACAACGGTAGTAGCCTTTCATGCTGGAAAACAAATAGACACATAAGTGTAACAGCCATCAACAAATCAAAGTTGTCAAACCAAATAAGGCTACTCAAATTACACAAAAAGTACATGAAAAGGGAAATTAGAAGTTGCATTTTTGGGTATCCTTAATACATTACAAACACTATTGCACAATTTAACACTCAGTCAACCTTACATTAGTAAATGAATACTCATAGGACTTCCAAAATGAATTTGATTATTCAAACTTACAGCTCATCACCACTCTAGCACATGTACACGTTAACACGGCCAATGCAGACTCGATTTCCCTCTGCAGATGGTAAAGGGACAAAATGCAAACCTTTTCCTTAACATTTGGAACACATGATGTTAGAACAATAATACCATTACACTCGTTCCAATGAAACACTGATAAACACTTTGACAATCAATAAAAGTGAACAACACTCACTTGAATGCTTTACACTCGCACCGGAAATACAAAGGGTCTATGGAGCACTTTTCTCCCCTCTAAACAAAGTAAAGCTTGTTCGCATAACTGTTTCAATAACACTGGTTTGCATTAAATTATGCATAAATTAAGGTTTCTTTTAACAGTACACTGATACAAATTATATCATCAACACTTACGCTTTGGTGAGAAACGGTTAGCTTCCCCACACGGACATGTTCGTCAGCAATGCTCAATAACATTCACCCCACACTGATAACTCGCCTCATCTGCAGCTCTCGCGGCACTTCACAACACTCCTGCAGCCGTGTTTCTTAAAGGGCCAGCATAACATTAGGGAAACCAATGAGAAAGATCATGAAACACGCTCTATGTGCAGTACATTCAAACCAGAGTGTAACAAAACAGTCTTATGTGTGACAACAACTTTTCAACCTGGTTACATATATATATATATATATTAATCCTCTGAGGCCAAATGATTGCAGACCATCTTTGATCTTTGTCTCTATCGCCATAATGTTCAAACCACAAACATATTGAGAAAAAAAAAAGTGTTACATCAGCATTGTTCGTGAAATACCATTGACTCTCATGTGCCTCATGACTGTCTCATCTCGGGTTAAAGTTTGAATTTATCCTTAAAATGAGATAACTGCATTAATGGAGTAAGCTAATTTTCAGCAATTAAAATCATATGGATTCAGAAGACTTGGAATGCAATAATTTTATACTTTTTTTGGTCAGTTTTTGCAATATATACATTTTACTGTACAATATTTACCTTTTATTTGCCTGTTATTGTATTTTATAATTGTTAGGTTTAGGGTAGGGGTTAGGTGCTCACAGATCAATAGCAAATGAGTTTCTAGTTCATCTATATAGCGACACCAAAAATGACCTTTAGTGCCTAAATAGTGACAGTCAAGGCACTTCCGTTTTTTTAATCCATGGGAGTTAGAATGGATTGGATAAACTGCTGGGCCATAGATTTTCTAACATTTAAAGTAGTCTGTGATTTTTAAAAATGACTGCTGAGGCATTTTAAAACTTGAATATATAGTCTTTATATTTGTGTTCCTTTTATTCCTTAAAGGAAGACTTTGAAACTGAATTCCAAGACTTCAAATGCATTACAACAGAATACACTAAATTTATTGAGCATGCTAGATAGATGGGTGGATGGATGAATAGACACATACATCGACAATACATATACTGTAAATATATAGAATATAGAAGAAAATTTAAGAAAATATAAGATTTGAGATTAATTGCATCAATCCCAAACTCAATGAGATGAATGATGACAGCTGTCTAATGAGCAATTCCCCTAATGGTTTTTGGTTTCACATGCTGTACAGTATACTCTACCTCAGAATGTGTTTCTGATTGCATAATTCTCAAATAACATTATGATCTATTTTTCATGTTCTAAAATCCTTCTATTGTTATGACACTGCAAAAAAGTGCACATATGTTTTATTTTTCAGATGTTTCACATTTGTCCACTGCTTTCAATTGAATCTCAGCTTGTAATTAAATGACACAACAGCAATATGAAACAAAAGGAGAACAATGGGCAGCCTGGATTTAATTTACAGGTTTGGATGTTAGCTGAAGAAAACAGGTGGTGGTACAGACCACCGCCCATGTCTTTGGCAGACGCTGGAGTTGGGCTCAGGAGATAAACAGATTGTTTGAAATGTTACAACTGCATTTATGCAAAAAATCACGTGTGACTGTAAACGTGGCTGGGGCTCATGGGTCCTGGATCATCCTGGTCCACCCAATTTCCCATTCGTCCACTGTTCATTCTTCTTTACTCAGCATAGCATTAGCCAAACAGAACAGTGACTACTTTCTTCACAACAGTTGATTTCTCCCGAGTCTTTGCTCTGAGTCCAAACTAGCCAACCTTGCTAATAACTCGAGAGGACACTCCTAAGCCTGACATCCCAGGTCATCATTTATCTCTCAACCAAGGCAATTGGCTGTATTTACTTTTTCTGATTGTGAGAGCTTCAGCTAGTGTGAAACCGCAACCTAAATCAATTACCAGACTTTTATTCCTGTTCTCCTTGGCACCTACATCAGCATTGTCTTGTTCATCATGTTCTTATTTCAGACATGAAGGAACCTAGTCTGTTGTCAGTTAGTCATCATCTTGTGCTTTGTGAGCCCCTGGCGCCATACCAGCAGCTGTTTTCATGGCTTGAAGGGCCATTTTTCATCCTTTCAAGGCGATCCAGAAGAATATTGGTGAATGTAATCTATGCCATTATCTGTGCCCTTGTGTTTGAACTGTTTTAGAGGGATCAGAAAATGAAACAGAACATGAAGAACATATTTCATACACTAATAAATGAAAGGTGAAGAAAAAAGATTTGAAGTCTAAAGTTGTCATCAAAACAGCCACTCTCAGGAAAAGTCAAACATAGGTGTAAATCAGCTTTGAGTCTTCTGACAAGTCACAACCCTGCTGATTGTCACTAATTGCAAGTCTTAAACATCTGTAGACTTGCACTTCCCGTATAACTGTTGCTCTAAGATTACAACTTGCATTAATATCAATTGATGTGCAAAGTTGCAAACCAGAAACTACAAAGTTGTTGAGAAAACAATATATTCTTTGGTGTGCGCATTTATAAATGAATTTGGTATGTGTGTCCGTAGTTTGTCTTTTTACCAAATTAAAACTATATCCTAAGTAACTATGTACATTTTATGCACATTTTGGGGAAAAACAATTTTCTCATTATGAGGTCTCCATCCAGCATTTTATGCAATATTAAAATGAATATAACATATGTGAGCAGAAATTAAAATACAGATGGATAAGTTTGTACATTTTAGTTTTGAGTGTTTTGGTTTGAGTGTTTGTGAGTATTTTGTTTTCACATAATGTGGTTATTTTGCACTTGTGCCATTTGTTAATTTTTTTTGTTTTGCATCTACCCCCACAACCCCTTCCAAAAAATTAAACAGAATACATTTTAATGAAGATCCTTTTAAGTATTTGCAGTCATTAAATGTTTATGATTATCAAAATTGATGTACTATACAGTATAAAATGTTTGGAGGCTCAATTTC